GCTGCCACACACCATCAGATTGTTAGAAATGCAGTGTCTGTGCAGTACAATGAAGTAGGGTATGCCCATAACGGACCTACCTTGTGAAATGGTTGGGAAGACTGAATGGGATACTCTGTACAGGGCTCTAGGCACAGTGCTTCAATAAATGTTAGCCATTGATCTTCGGAGAAGCAAGGTGGGCGAGGATTGTTTAGGTTGGTCAAGTGTCACACTTTGTATATACCAGAGACCTGATATTCACTTTCTCTGTCCTCTTTCTTATTCAGTGAGATGCCCTTGGTTTTGTAGACTAGATTTCTGTCCACATATTGGATTGCCATGTGCTAATAATGACCACCAATCAATGAAACTTGTCCTTTGTAGTGGCAAATACTGTTGGTCATTTCAAAAGTGATGTTTTATGCAATATCTTTTTTGATATAAGAATGTATCTTATAGGTGACTAAAAGAAATCAAAGAAAATGAAATTGGAAAAATCATATCTTCAGGTGACTACGTCATGGCCAGATGATGGGCTCTGTAGCTCTTGAAGGCGGGAGCCCCACATCCCCGTGTGCCTTCCAAGGGCTCCGAAGTACCGTTCCAACTACATGTCCTTGTTTCTCTGTGATTACATTTAAACATTCAGTTTACCTTTGGACTTTATGACATTTACTTTGTGATGGTCAAAACTAATTTTAAATATGTAAATTCAGGTATTTCTACTAAAAAAAGAAAAGTGGTCTGATTTTTATTTGTCCTCTAATGGATTTATTTTGGCTGATGGTTTCGTGCTTCCAGTACATGGGGTATTGCTTAAGTTCACCTCTCTTCAAAATGAGTGCCTTGCTGTCCTCCATCAGCTAACGGAATGCAGCTCCGGGGATTAGTGTGTGTGACATGTCACACAAGGACAGTATGTCTACATTCTTTGATGAGGGAAAGGGGCAAAAATATGTGGCGTAGCACTACAGTTAGCCCCACAAATGTCTGTTTGGTGAACAGATAGATAAATGAATGGGACTGAGGAGAGAGCAAAGTAAAACATGAGAAGGAAGATGAGTGGGCTCTTCCCTTGGAGCTGATTCATGCTGCATCCCTGGTTCCCAAAGCTCGAAAGCTACGAGAATCTAGAAATGGTGGCAACAGGGAAAATACCAAGCTCCCCCTTTCTCACTGATTCTTTGGAAAACCTTGCAGGCAGGCCAGCGAGGTCTTTGGGATGTCTGATATATGTTACCCACAGGGTAGGAAACACTGACCTCAAGTTTTTCTCCTTGCTGGGTGGAAACTTTTCATTTCTGATTAGGGTAATGGACTGAGTTGAAAAGATTCCACCACAATGTGAGTTTCAGGTATGTTAGCTCTATTTCTAATCCTTTTTGTAATGTTGCCCAGTATTTAGTTTCTTTGTGTGCCTATCACAACAGTGCTTGCAGCCAGCTCCTGTGAGTTCAGCTGTCACTACAAATCTGTGCACGGACCAACTTACAGCAGAAACCAGAGATAATGAGCACCAAAGGATTAGGCCCAAAGCAGTGTATGATTTGATAAAATCATCAAATTTTAGGGTTCGGAAAACAGACCCATCTTTAAACAACTTTGGATGTAGAAACAATGTGTCTGTCCACAATGTTTATTATGAAATAATACAAATTAGGCATAGAAGGTCTCCTTTAGTGGGGAAAAGAGCTCACTGCTTTTCAAGTTAGAGGGCTAGAAGAAATGATGTAGTACCTTCTTCTACTTCAAGGAGGTGTGTCGGGGATCACAAAACCATGGGACAGCATGTGTGGAGATCCTGGGTAAGATGTAATGCATAGGTACCAAGTGGGCTTAGCGAGGGAAGTAGCTGTTATTTGAATTTCCCTGCAGACTGTAAACTCTGGGATGGCAGGGACCAGATCTTCCTTGTTAACTGCTGTAACCCCTGTTCTCAGCCCAGAGCTGGCATACAGGAGGCACTTGATAAATATCTGATGAATGAAATGAAATCAAAGCCAACAATGAAACATATTTATTTATATAAAAACTATTTATTGCTAGTCAAGTTCGGTCAAATTATGGCTGACATTATGAATACTATTTCATTATCTATTAACAATCATGTTTTAAAACTTATTATTGTAACAACAGAATTTTATAGGTCAACACTGACAGCTTTATAGTGGTTAAGTGACCCTTCATCCAGGTCCTTTAATGTTGTAGTTCATTTGTTCCCGGTCAGGGCACATGCCCAGGTTATGGGCCACATCCCCAATGAGAGGCATGCAGGAGGTGGCCGATCGATTTACTCTCTCAGCGATGTTTCTATTTCTCTCTCTCCCTCTCCCTTCTTCTCTCTCTAAGATCAATAAAGAAAAAAATATATACTTAAAAAAAAGATTAGAAAAAGTACATAAGAATGAAAATTGATACTGTGATCATGGGCGTAAATTCTAGTTATGGTAAAAATAGACAGATCTCTTGGACACTAAAGACAACGTTTGTAGATAATAAATTTTCAAAAAGTTTTTGCCTTGGGGGAGAAGCTTGACTTAGACTGATAGCATAATATGTTTTTTCAGATGTAAAATTACATGGCTATGATTTGGGTGTGTCAACACATCCCCCCCACTGCTTTCTGCTCCAGAAGAATGATGCTTAGAACGTACCACAGCTGGAACAGCTGGATTTAAAGGACAGTACTAATCGCTGTTTTACCAGAAACTATAATTTGGCAGGTGTTTGTGATTAGTTTATTAACACATTTCCCTGTTAATTCCCTATGGCAGTCATTTCTAGAACATCCTTTGTGAGAGGTATAAATGAATTGTCTTGTCATAAGGAATTTCTTTATAGACCTGAGAAATCACTTTGGTTAAGTTACCTTGCATGTTATTAACTTGAAGTCTTTGTTCATGATGAGGCCAGAGGGGAGGTGAAAGGTAGCCCTCCTTCCAGTTCTGTCGTGTGGACCCCTGGGGCCCATAGTGGGCTGCCCTGCATCTCACAAAACCCTTCCTAAACTCTGCTTCTCTAGCCTCAGGCTCTGATCCTCTCCAGTCTGGGAGGCATGGTGGGAAATGCCTTGACATGAATAAATGTAGTAAGAGAAACAGTTGGCAATGAGTTAAATTAAAGATAACAAACCAGGGAAGTGAAGAACCATACAACTATTAAAAACAAAAAGATGTTTACAGAAAGTAATAGCTTACTATATGGCTCAGTTCTTTCAAGCAGATATTCTTGTTATATGTACATATAACAATCTAGGTATAACCCAGATTACAACATGATTACTATGAATGCAAGGAAATGTGAATGTGTATAGGAGAGAATGAGGGTGACAGAGAAAGGAGTAAAAAGAGCTAGATCTTTGTTTTCTATAGTGGGAGTTAATTGAAATACCCAAACCAAAAAATCATGAAGTAGCTCTTCACTTAGAGATGTAGGAAAAAATATTCCAAGTAGCTAAAAGAATGAAAATATTTGCTCTTAGAGAAGGGGAAATTTGAGAGGAGACCTGAGTATTAGTTGTATATCTTATCTTCAGTAAGCAGACAATTCTTAACATATGTATGTATAGCTGGGGTAGAGGGTAACTTAGGGAAAAAATAAGAAAAGAAAAAGTATTTTTGGAAAGAAGAATAGAAGAAGAAATATATCACATAGAGGCCCATTTTAATGTGTTGGTTTATTTTTTTTTCAGTATTTCTCCTCCATTTGTGATTTGACTTTCCTTCCTTCCAAATATATATTTGATAGCTGACTGCTTGAGCTCTTAATATATTTGATAGCTGACTGCTTGAGCTCTTAATTGCACAGAACTTGTTCTAATTAATACTTTATATGCATTGTTTAATTTGATTAACCCAACTGTGAGTGCTGATTTTTTAAGTTATATATCATAATTATTTTTTTATTTTAGCATATGGTCTTCATAATCATCTTTTTTCATGGTACAGTAATATTTCATCCAGAGGAATATTTATCTTTCCCCCAATTTTAATTTTTATATTATTATTGTTATTATTATTATTTTAATTCTCACCCGAGGACATTTTTGCATTTATCTTTAGATAGAGCAGGAGGAAGAGAGATTTCCCCAATTTTTGGATTTTTAAGTTGTTTTCCAGCTTTTGCTGTTATAAAGAATACTGGGATGATATACTTTTCACCAAAGCATTTTTCTGCCATTTATGCTTTCAGGATAAATTTCTAGAAGTAGGAGCACTGGGTCAAAGAACATAAACATGTGCAGCCATATTGACTTTTCATTCTCTGTTGCATGTGAGGTGACAGCTCGTGCAACTCTGAGACAGGTAGGAGAGACAGAGTCATCGCCATTCTACAGAGGAGGTCACTGGGAACTAAGTTCCCCAAGTTACACAGTTGGAGGAAGAGCCATCATTAAAATGCTTGTTTCCCAACTCTGTCTTGACTTCTCTTCCTATCGTGTCCCCAAAATTAAATGAAGTCCAGGCTGCATTGAACATGCCACCTCCCCTTCCCAGACGTCTTAGTCTTCACCTGGCAGGGCTTCTCTGTCATGGGGCCTCTTCCTTTCACTGAGGGTCATTCTACTGTAGGAGGAAAGTGAGACATGTCAAGCAGCCAAGGACTACATATGGTGAAATCTTCAACTACATCTAAGGACAAGGAAGGAAGGGTGGAACAGGGGCAGGACCAGGAGAAAACAAATGTACTAAGTTGGAAAATGGGGTAGGAGCCATGAGCAGGTACATAAAAGGAAAGCAGGAAGAAAAACAACAATGTTGTGATTTTGGAGGATCTTAAGGTTCAACATGAGATGTTGGAGCTGAAGATGGCAAAGAGACTTGAATTGGGGAGTGTTAGGGTCATTGGATGGTCTTTCTGTACTCGATTGTACCCGGGACTGTTTTGGACTGTTAAATCTACTTCTTGATAACAATATACTTTCTCAAGATAGAAACTAAACCATAATCTGTATTTTCTTTTTATTTTTCAAATGAATGATCAAAAAGTAACTTCAAATATGTATTTTTCAACCACAGAAGGAAGTGAGTCCGGCTTTGTCCAACCCAAACCACGTACACTGGGAAGAGACTCGACTATTTGTGATAAGGTACAAAAGGGAAGCCTTTCTCCATTAGATAAGCTCAAGATTTCAGCAGTGTCTACAGCTAATGGTGTGGCATCCCTTCATGAGCAGCCCCTGGCAAAGGATGCTGGAGACCCACCAGGTTCCACGGAGAAGACTCAGCCTCTGGGACCCAAGGAGTCTGGGCCAGTTCAGCCAGGCAGCAAAGATGATACTCCAGGAGCAGGAGGAAAGAAAGATGCAGAAGCAGTGTCAGAGGCCCAGCCACTAGAAGGAAATGCTGAGACTGAACCTTTAGGAACAGGAGCTAAGCGCCAGCCTTTGAGGACAGCAGGAGAGAGGGACTCTCCTGGAAAACTGGGAGATACCAAGATTCTGCAAACTGCCCAAGAGATGAAACCTCTAAGAACAGCTGAAAAAAGTCCACCTCTGGAAGTGGGTAGACAGTCACAACCTCAAGAAGCAGTGGGAAAACCCCAACTCCTAGAAACAGTTCCCAAGGAGACTGAATCTCCAGAAATATTGCAAGGAAGTCAGCTTGTTGAAACAGCTGAAGAACATGAACTTCAAGAAACACTGGGAAGAGATGAACCGTTCCAGTTTCAAGAAACAGTGCCCAGAGAGAAAGGATTTCTGGAAACATGGGAAGGAGAGCAGCTTGTGGAAACAGCTGTCAAGAATGATCTGATACACAAAACTCCTGAAGGTCCAGGACACATGGAGCAGACTCAACCTGAAGGAGTAGCTGGGAGCATGGAGCATCCAGCAGGAACCCCGGAAACAGGGACAAACATGGAAATGGTCAGGAAAATGCACACTAACAAAGAGGACCAACACACTGAAGGTAAGAGTTATGCTGTTAAAGATTCAGGGTGTTGAGATGGACTCCGTAAGAGATCATCTTCGGGGGGAGGCAGAGCCTGACATTACAGGTGGTTGAAGTTCAGTGACCCAAACCAAAAAGTCTTTCCTAACTGGAAAACAGGCGTTTGGCTTTCCAGCAAAATTTCCGAAAGCATAGTCTGTGTCCAAATTTTTAACCTAGAGTTTCATCATTGAATAGAAACGAATATCGAAGGCAACATGTTAAAATTTCTGAATTTTTCCAAGTTCATGCTTTACCAGGTCCCATGTGTGGTGTGAGAATCCAAAGTAAAGATGGATAGATGGTTAATGGAACAGTTGACCTTCTAATGCAAAAATACACAAATAATGGATCCTAGAGTGTAATTTTCATCTTTGCCAGGTTTATCCTTGTCCTCCTCTCCTCTTTTTACCTTTAAGAGAAGACTAGAGAAAATGTGTTGTCTTGGCATATGGTGTTTTTTAAATGTACTTTACCAGCAAAAAACAAATGATATCTATACTATACTCTATTGGAGTTATATATTTTTTAAAAAGAACACTTCTGGGGCATGGTTTACATTTTGGCAAATTTTAGCTTCACACTATAATTAAGTGAAGCATTTATCCACCTGTTTCTTAATTCTTTCACGATTCACACAGCAGTTTCTGCGTGTTTAATTGTATGCTAGGTGCTAACCTGCAGGAGTAAGAAGATAAGTCCTTTTCTCAAGGGGCCACAGTCTAGTGGGAAGAAGGCAGAATTTTTTTTTTTTTAATCCTCACCCGAGGATATTTTTGCATTTATCTTCAGATAGAGTGGAAGAGAGAGAGGGAGGAAGAGAGAGAGAGAGACACACCGAGTGGTTGCCACCCACACAACCCCAACCGGGGCCAGGGACAAACTGTAACAGATACATGCCCTTAGTGGGAACCGAACCTGGGACTCTCCGGTCTGCAGGCTGATGCTCTAACCGCTGAGCCAAACTGGCCAGGACAAGAAGGCAGAATTTAAGCAAATGATCACAGTCTGTTGAGGTAAGCACTTTAGTGAAGGTATGTAAAAGTACTCTGGGAATAACAAGGGAGAGGCAGGAAAAAGCAGAGATTTGTTAGACCATATATTTGTTAAATGCAAGTCTTTAGGGCCTAGGATGACAACAGGGAGTTAAGTGAGGGGCACATGGAATGTCACACGGAGCCCAGGCAGGCCTCGGTGGATAGGAGTACAGTCCTATGAAAAGAGGCATGCTCCACCCAGGAGCACGAGGGCCAGTGTTGTCCAAACCGACTTCTTGGGAAACAGATTTGTATATACGGAGTCCAGATTTGTATGTGAAGTGTTGTCATTGGCATTCAGAGGATCTGAGAGAATTAGGGCAAACACCTTTCTTGAAACCACCAGAAAAACGTATTGTTTAGACCTAAAGATTAAGAGCTGTGCCCATTGGAAACCAGCTGTGGGTACCTTATTGTTAATGCTAAATAAGTGTCTCTTATTATCTCCTTTGGTTACTTTTCCAGGTGAGACAGGAGAAAAGGTTGAAACAGAGATGGAAAAAGTAAGTGAAGGAGCTGAAACAAAAGAAGAAACAGGAGAAGCTGTAGATCTTTCAGCAGCCACATAGATAGGTGTGGTGATACAACGGTGATGGACAGAGTGTCATCACAGAGGACAGAAAAAATGTGGTGAGGCTTGTGGTTACAGATCTTATCTTTCAAGGTCTCCATGTTTTATACAAGGAGGGTGATTTTCATATTCTTGATTACATTGTTCCATAAAACTGCTAAGTTGTTAACAGTTTCTTTAGCTACTTAGAATATACATTTAAAATGACAATAGCCAACCAGAGTTTATGATCATTAAACAGTTTGAGGGTGTTTTCTTCATTGTGGCAATGGGTCCATTCAGTAAAGAAAACGAGACCCTAAAATGGAAGTATAAATCGTTCGGTATGAGTGGCTGGAGGAGGGAGTTAGTACATTTTAGGGAGCTCAGGACAATAAAGTCACACAGTTATACTTACTATGGAATAAGAATGAACAACAAAATGGTGCAAACAATACCTAGGATGTCTTTCCTAGCACAGAATTTAGAGCTGGTAGAAACCTTAGAAAGTATGTCATCCAGTTACCTTCCCCTCTTAAGTCTGTCTACTGCTGGAGAGCTGTATTCATTTATGTTATGCTAAATATGTTAACAAAATCCTTGTCAAAGGAATTCAAACTCTGGTGCTGTTGCAAGATTAGGCATTTTCACAATGAAAGGCCACACACTTCCCATGTGGTGCCATTTTGAATCAAGTGTTGACTTTACAGTAATGAGAGGTGGTTCATTTGGTGTTACCCTTTTGACTGACATTAAAGGTGTTTTAAAGTAATTGACTTTTAGCTCGACTGGTATGGCTCAGTGGTTGAGCATTGACCCATACACCAAGAGGTCACCAGTTCAATTCCTGGTCAGGGCATATGCCCAGGTTGTGGGCCAAATCTCCAGTGAGGGGCATGCAGGAGGCGGCCAATCCATGTTCTCTCTCATCGATGTTTCTATTTCTCTCTCTCTCCCTTTCCCTTCCTCTCTCTCTAAAAATAAAAAATAAAACATTTTTTAAAAAATGTGAAAATTTGTGCACATTTATGGTACTTTCTATTACTTTTATCTTTGGCCTTAAATGTAGTTACTAACCCCTTTTTAGAAATTGTTCTTATTCTTTTAGATAATATTGTTTTTAAATTAAGAACTTATATAGAAAATTAAAAGTATTTTGGAAACAAAGCTATTTTGAAGTATTCAAGCACACAAATATTCTAACAGTGGTCCCTCTGATTTTTCTTTTAAAATTTAGGGCTGCTTATTTATATGACCAAAAATTTTTTTGAGATTTAAATGAAAATTGGTTGCTGAATTATGTAAAGGTGATGAATATGGAAAGACAGCTAAAGATGTATAAACATTGCTTTGCATTTTATTAAATTGTTTTAATGCAAAATTTGTATAAAGAAATATGATGTTTTATAACTTTCTAATTAAAATGTTCAAAATGGAAAAAAAAGAAAATTAAAATGTTCTATAATATTTGAATATTCCAAAATTTAAATATTCCATCTAAATAATATGTTAATTAATTTTTAAAAGCAAAATTAAAGTAATAAATGTCTGTAGTAAAACTCAAATAACACAGGAAGTTATAAAATGAGCAGTGAATTTCTCCCTCCCGTATCCCTTAGTCCTTCTACAAAAAGTAATAAAGTTTCTTTTCTTTTTTTTTTTAATGTTTGTATTGATTTCAGAGAGAGGAAGAGAGAAAAAGATAGAAACATCAATGAGAGAGAAACATGGATTGGCTGCCTCCTGCGCATCCCCTACTGGGGATGGAGCCCGCAACCCGGGCATGTGTCCTGACTGGGAATCAAACTGGGACCTCTCAGTCCATGGGATGATGCTCAATCTACTGAGCCACACCAGCTGGGCAAAGTTTCTTGTGTATACATCCACAAGAAGGTAGTGTCTATGCCAGGCTATATGTATATGCTAAAATGTGTGTGCATTTACATATCTACATTTAAAAACACAAGTGACAATTTACATAGCCCTTGTGTTGTAAGAAGTGCTTGTGAAATCACTAACCTATCCTTTCCTATGTTAGAGTGTTTTTCTTTTGCCTAAGACTGATAGACTTAGCATAGCAAAATGCATTTTAATCCTAATCCCAGACTCTGAGAAGAGATGATCAATTTTGACCCCAGATTCAAAATGTATGAGTTGGACAGAGGCTTGAGTTGTTCATAATGAATTAATAGGACAACTACTGTCAGGGCTGGATTTTCCAATCCTGGGTTTTGTATAGCTACTTTGTAGCCCAGGTTGTGTTATATTAAGATAATTTTAGTATTTTCTACTCCTAACTGGAGGGAAATGGTGAACAAATGATTTGCCAGCTAGCATCCCTAGTAGGGAGAGAATGTTTGCCTTTACCAGCAGAGGGTGCAGTTGCCACGGGAGGAACTCACCAGTCCAGACTACAGAACTCTTGGCTGGAAATGCTCTGTATCTTGCCTCCTAGGGGACCCACAGGATACTGACCTTACTGCTTTCTCACTTACACTTTGAAGTAAGAGCTCCTAGAACAGCTAATAGCCTTTGAGCAGTCAAAACACTCATTACTTTTAAAAAAATATTTTTTCTTTATTGATTTTAGAGAGAGAGGAAAGGAGAGAGAGATAGAACATTGATGAGAGAGAACTTCAACTGGCAGTCTCCTGCATGCCCCTCTCTGGGGATCAGGCCACAACCTGGGCATGTGTCCCGATCTCCTGGTGCATGGGGCTCAACCAGTGAGCTACACCTGCGGGGCTCACATCACTTTTAACAAACACTTTATTCCACACTTGGCCTTGGACTAACAATGGCTTCTAAAGGAAACTGTTTTTTTCCACATTTAACTAGTCAAAGAGTGTTGGATGGTCATGGTCAAATAACCCTAGTTGGATTTACATCTGTGCTCATTGGCAAATGCAATCGTTTCTTAGAGCATATAACATTATAAGCATCTCAGTTTTATAAAGGTAATTTGGTGACCCAAATAATTCTGAACTGTTCCACAAATGCCACCATAAAGCCATTCATGTAACCACACATATCTGTGAGGTAAGAGAATAATAATCTCCTCCTTTCCCCACACCAAACAGCAAGGCATAGCTGTGTTGGAAAAGTTGAAAGCATTTACTTACAGGATGTCATTTCATCTAAAACTTTGTCAGCTTCTCTTCTCTCTGGAGCTTATAAAGTTAATGAGCATTTGGTTATAATTTCAAGGTTTTAATTGCAGAAACAGAATCAGTGTAATTTCAGAGAGCAGCTGACAGGTGTGGAATTTCTCTTTTCAGTTCTTGTTACTATCAACAAAAGTTAGGGAACTCCCTGGTATTATTAATTCACATAGAGTAAAATTGGAGGCCTGCAGCTTTACTTCAGAACTACTACTCAGCTAATTTAATGGATAGTATTTGAGATATTGAAGCTAACAATACTATCGTTATTTCTGTGCCTACTGAAAGAAGTCTGCAGATGTCAAACCCAGGCTTAGTAACTTTTGAAGGTGGACAAAGGGCCAGTCCATATTCTGTTCATCTAACCCTTTCAGTTTAATAATGTTCTACTGACATGAATAAACAGTCCACACTGTCAACGGTTGTGGACAGAGATCTGCAAGCCATGTTGATGCATATGAGAACTTATTATTATTATTAGTGTTGCAATAACAAGTTAGCCAAAGCACAACTATTAACAGAACCTTAAGTCTATTGAGTTGCTGAGAAGAGCACTTGTGGATTTTCCTCACTGGAGTCTATGGAGAGAGGAGGTAAAAGAGGGTGTACCAATGAAACTCGCTACATTAGTCAGTACTGACTAGTGCTATAGAGAGGGCAACTTATGCCCAAGTGTATTAGCACTTAGCTGGCCACAATTTATGATAAATAAATTTTGATATCAGGAAGAAACACGGAAACTAAATATTTATTTGGAATTATTTTTCATACTTTCTGATTGCTGACCAAATGCTAGAGAAAAGATTGTAAGCTCTTCAGAAGGCAGGAAAAGTGCCTTGAAGGGTTTGGCACTCTGTAAATATTTGTGGGTGACAAGTACTCTTTATTCTTATATAATCATGATAATTTTCTCAGTACTGAATATATCACTGGCTGTAGGGAAAAATATGGCCAAATTTTTACTAAAATTTTGTACTGCTAGTTCAATATTTACAATTTTGTTTGAATAAATGGAAACAATAAAGTGTTTGAAAGCTTTTCTCAGTATAGTATTTTTATCTGAGTTTTTGTATAGAAACATCTGAAGTTCTGACTCATTGTGTCTTTCAGAAAAAAAAGCATTCTTTAAATTACACATCGTCAAAGGTAAGGAATATGACAATAGCAGGGAAATATGGACTCTTTAGACATCTCATGATCATTTATTTAATGATAACACACTTCAAAGAGATCTATTTCTGTATGTTTGAAAGGCTAATGTAAGTGATCCTTTTCACATGTAACAAAATCTAGTGATTCACCTTTAGTGTGGAAAGACGACTCAGAATCCCAACCCAGCCACTAACAAGTCAACTAACTTGGGTACCAGCATTTTATTTCTAGTTCTTTAACTCTAGGGTTTGAATTTGAAGTCATGACCTATCTATAACTATGCCCCTTAGGCCCAGCCTAGGCAGAGTATCTAATTTCCTGGCTACAGTGATTGATTTAAGAATGGGCCCCTAACCTGAGCTGGACCAATCAGAGGTTTCTTCAAGACTCTCCAGCCAGAGAGATGAGGAAATGATGTCTTTCTGCTGCAGCTAGTACCCTGGTAGTCTGTATGTCTGGGCCTGCAGCATCTTCCCCTAAGAGACAGATGGTGCCATGAGGTTTCTGAGGCACGCATGCCTAAAGTCAGCTATACTCTGGACTTCTCTGTTACATGAGCCTATGAATTTCTTTGTTTCCCCTGCTTATACTAGTTCGAGTAGACTTTATGATTTACAAATAAAAGCCTTGATAAAAATAAAAAGAGGTGTCATAAGTGAGCTGAAGATAATAAGTATAAGAGCAGAAATTAATGATAAAAGCAATAAAATAGGATCAACCAAAC